CCAATATCTTTACCTCATTTATTCTACTCCCCTCCAGAAAAAGAGATTTAATGAACCCAAAGTGGTTATTGTTGGTTTTTGTTGTTGTTGTTGTTGTTGTTTAGTCTAATAGGAGATCACAATGAAACATGCCATGGATAACTTACTTCCATTCATTTAAAAAGGTTGGAATATTTTCATCCCCTGGTCTGAACAAACTATCCCCTTACTCAGCTTCCAAAAAGGAAAATGTGTTGTTTTTTAAATACAGCTTAAATAACAATCATCTTTTATATGCATTTGTCAATACTGAAAAATTCTCTTCTTCCTGATTTTGTTCTGTCTCTAGTCATAAGTATCAGTTCCCAAAATTTCACTCAGGATAAGAATAACAGTACTCACATCCCTAGAAACTGTGATTCTAGCTCTTTCTAATAATTTTCAGCAAGTTCCATCATGTTGAATGCCCTTCAATTCTGTGTTCTTACCTACCACACTATGGAGAATACAGCCTATATGTTCTAGTAATAACAAAATTCATTTCTGACTTCTGTGTGAACTTTATAAACTTTCCATACAAAGGAAAACATACTTTTTTCCTTTTCTTTGGTGTTTCTTCAATTAACTACATTTACTAACCATAATTATTTGTTGATGGTTCAGTAGCTTATACCTTGAAATGTCACCTGTCTGCTTCAATCTGATTTCAATCCCAGATAATTACAGTATTAAATTCTAAGCTAGAATATAGTTTAAATCCAAGGGAAAATATATAATGTATCATGATAGCTTTAGAAATGGCCCGTACGTTTGAAATACACACTCACTTTAAACATTTCGGTCCAGAATTAAAATTAAAATCACCCTGTGTTAAATGCTTATCTGACAACATTCGCATAGGCTTCTGGAGTTTACCACTTACAAGAAAAACTTAACAGTAAGCTACCTTTTTTCTATTGGCAATAGAATGTATAGATTAATTCAGAACAAGAGAATGGGAAAATATTCTGGTATTAAAGAACGATTAACATTTGGTGTATGAGTGATGTGTGTGTGTGTTTTGTTTTCATGAGTAATATGATGAGAATATTGCTCAAAACATCATTTCGATGATAGTGTAGAAGATGTCTTGGGGAGGGTTGTCACTATAGGTGAGATCAGTGGTGACAGAAATAGCACAGATTTAAGAACAGAGAGGATTCATCTTGAGTGGTAGAGATGGGAATGAAAAATCAGAGAGTCACTTGTAAGACATTTAAAAGGAAAAGTAAATAAGAACTGGTAAATATTTGGATGGAAGGATGGGGCACTTCACAGAACATTTTGAAGCCCTGGGAATTTGTTAAAAATGACACTACCATGAGAAGAAATTGAATTGTGGGTTTTCCAAGGATATCCAGAATTACCCAGTTTGGGGAGAAGAATAGGGTGTTAGTAGAAAGAGATACACTAATTGTAAAGATTAGCTGATAACTCAAATAAAATATCCAATCATCAGTTACAACTGTGTGACTACAATTCATGAGGACTGTGGACCTCTTGAGGACTGAGACTATTTGCTCTTCTCCTTTGAATCTCCCGGCAACCAGGACGGGGCCAGACACATAGTTATACACTCAATAAATGGGGCCCAGCTGGCTGATGAACCACACAGAGTTCTGGGAGCCAGCTTCTCCAAGAAAATAATTAAATTGTGAGCATGGACAAATATGACCTTGAAGGGTAGGGTACAAAGAAAGGAACTAAGAGGACAAAGATAGAAATAAAGGAATAAATATATTGAAGGAAGTAGAATGAGAAAAAGAAAAAGGAATAACAGAGACAGGCAGGTCAGGGAGTTAAACTGAGAGAGTGGAAGGGAAGGGTAAGGAAGGGGATGGGGGAAGGGAAGGGAGCAGAGAGGGAAACAAGAATAGAATCAGAGGAGCCAGGGAAGAAGAGGTGCTACTTATACACAATTGGAATGCATATATATGCATTCAAACAGAGAATGCAAGGAGGCAAAAATTATAAAGTCACATTTAGTGAGAAAAAATGAAAATCATTAAAATGTTTCCTCAATAACTTAAAGTAAATAAATTAATAGCTCCTGTCATATTGATTCATCTATTGCATGTGGGCACTCAATAAATGTTAATTGAATTAAATTAATAACATTTGCTCAATGGTAATAAAAAATTAATTAACTGTCTTTTCTGTTACTTAAGTTTATGCCTATTGGTTCTGCAATTACTTCTAGCCCAAACATGAATTTTCTATTTCACTGACTTGAGATACACTTTAATTTTTTTTCCCTAAGAAATAGAGTTGAGCTTCTAATTTTTGTCCTAATTTTGGTGTTTTTTTTTTCTGTTAAAAAATTATTTTCTCTGAGTTAATGTCAAGAACTATGTATAACGTCCCAAATATAGTTTCACGAGTTCCTTATTTAATTCCAAAATCGTTTTCTCTGCAGGAGATGTGATACCACTTTTTATATGTTTCTCCTTTTAGCCTATGCTACTTTATAATACTTTGGATACAATGTCAAATAACACCGTGAAAGAGGAATCCAGGGAAATTTATTGTTAGCTTCCCATCTATAAAAGATGGAAGATGTCAGTAATGCTCACCCAAAAATTGTGACTCATTTCAGATGTCAGAATTCTGGGTCGAACAGACCTGGGTCGGAAACGTGTGTATGTCAGATGATTTTCTAATGAGCAACAGATAATTCCCACTGGGGAATGAAAAAAATAAAAATATAAACAGAGATATAGAATTAAAATAACTTTATGAATGGCAGTTTAACTTCTCCACAACATTCTCTCAGTACAATCCCAGTGGCTCCAAATGGTTGCTTAATGTAGCACACCACTTAGACTCAAAATGCTATACTTAAAATTGTCGCAAAATTAAAAAGAGAATCATATACCACTTGGCTGTATACAGTATTCTCCGCATGTTCTTATATTCTAGTAACCTCTATCCAACATTTTTTTTTGTTACTGAATTACTTTGTGCAAAAGCAATTTAAATTACATGCAGCCTGACTACGTGTGATAATTTGAACTGATTGTTAATTAATTCCGTAAGTAAATAGCTGCTGCAATCTCTATACTCATCAAGGTTTCGTTCTCTACCGGCTCTGAGCTGCTCTTTAGTGTACAGTATGAAGCAGCTGTAACTGAAGACGCAGGATTCCCTGAGTGTGCAAGAAGGTGGTCCTGCTTTGCAGAGACTAAAGTGAAGTAATCTGCGAGGCTGGATTTGGGGTAGGTGACACATCATGGGATTTAGGGTTCAGAGGGGTTGCTGAGGTGCGGTCTCAGCAGCGAGGAAGCAGAGATAAAAAGCTCAGAACAAGTCAGAGATAATACTACAGAGACAAGGATGAGAGCAGAGCTCTTGGAACACACCAAGCCTGGATTCAAATTCTAGTTCTGTTACTTGCTAATGAGGAACACTGAGGCAACTTATCTAAATAAACTATCTAAACTTTGGTTACACTCCTTCATCTATAAACGGGAAACCGATGCATACGTTCCCCTCAGAGAGGCTGAGGGTATCTACCTCCTGGAGTCTTTGTGATGCTTCAGGTAAATAAGGTACCTACGTGGTACTATGCAACTTGACATAAAGGGTATGCGAGGGCGTATGTGGGTGTGCGTATAAAGCAGTGGTTTGGACTTCCACCAAAGTCACTTTGCCCCATAGTGCTGTTTGTCACAACCTAGGAAAATGCATGCTACCGGCATCTAGTAGGTAGAGGACAGGGGTGCTGTCAAACATCCTACGATCTCCCCATGACAAAGAATTCTCTGTCTCCAAATCTCAATACTGCTCCAAGTGTTCTAAGGCATAATTTGAGGCTGTTTGTAATATTAGCAGATTGCCAGACACTTCGATACCCCAGAAAAATAAGCTATTATTTTTCTGTCATCGTCATTACAACATGAATTTGGTGAATCTCTCTGGGGTTAGAGGAAGTCTAAAGGTTTCCCAGTTGGTTGAGCTAATCCCATCTATCCACTGTTACATTAATTGCTATTAATGGTAGAGGTTTTCATGAACCCCAATTTCCACTGGTTCAATTTAGAGTGAATCAAGCCACAACCATTTAAAGCCAGCAACATAAGGGGTAGGGAATAAAAAGCAAACCTTGTTGAAAGCCAAGGCTGTCTGGAGGCTGAGAAAGAAACAAGACAATTGTGTGTGTCAGACTGACAGCTCCCATGCCAGTCAGGAGCCTTTGGAGCTTCATGTAGAGAGCTTCAGAAATCCCCCAGGGGCGGTGACCTAATCTGCTGAGGGGTAGGAGGGGTTGCCTAAGCTTGAACAAATTCCAAAGTTTTAAAAGATATCCCAGGTTATTTTACTCTTTAGAGAAGTCTGGAAACCACTGCCCCATGAGGCAGGACCCAGTAGAGATTTCCATCCGCCAAAAACAAAAGATGTAACTTTTGAAAAGGTGATAAAAATGGATGTTGGTAAGAATGTACTTCTTGCACTGAGCTGTGTAAGCATGGAAAAAAAAAACAGGTCTTGAGTTCTATTGTTTATTCCAGTCGCTCAATGAACATTACTGGATCAACCAGGCATTGGAATGGCAACAAGAAAGCAAGTCTCCAGAATGCATCTTCACTGTCCCCCAGTAGGGCTGCCAAATGACCAGGGTTACTGCTCGTTTAGGACTTATGGTGTCCCTAGGAATCTCTGGTCTTCATGTTTGAGAATACCTTCTGTTAACTGCTTTCTTGATCATAGGATTGTGTGATGGGAATAGATAAGTTATGACCCAGACTGGTGATGACCCAGACTCTAATGTGGTTTCATGGAATGTTGCTCTGTCATACACACCTCAATATTGTGAGTTAGCTACTTCTTTGCTAAGTCATTTGATGCTTGCAGAATCTGGGGACCATGCCTGCCTCAGGTGCCACTGTCTTTTCTGTGCCCAGCCCAGTGTACCTTATATAACAGACCCTCAATGATTATGTGGGAATGAATGGATGGATGGATGGATGGATAGATGGACGAATATGGGAGCTCTTAAAATACATGAGGCACCTAGGCCTTCTTGGTCTTTTCTATGCCTCGCCAAACCAGAATCTCAGTTAACGGTCAAAGACTTTGCAAGAGGTTCCCTTCCAGGTGGTTATATGGAAATAAAATATACTCCAAAAAGCACAGCCCCAAAAGCCATATAGACAGTCACCTGCATAGGAGCCTAACAAATACCAAGGTAGGAGAAAGGATGGCAACCAAGAGTCTCTGAGGGAGAAACATGTATGAGCTTATAGACGGTTCATTTATAATCATTTTTCTTATACAGAGGAAGAAACTGAGGTTTGTAGAAACAAAAGCAATAAAACAATCTGATTGAGACCACATACATATTGAGCAACACTTTGACCATAAGCTGACAACAAACTGTGAGTTTTCGTTGATCCAGTTGAATGAATTCTTTGATTTTCTCCACCCATCACTTAAAAAAAAAAAACCCACAGTAGAAATACTGTTACAAATTAGTGTGATAGAGAAACTTGTAATGTATATAAAATTTTATAATTATTGCACTTTTCTATTCTTACTTATATTTTTATTCAAAATGATCACGTTCAATGATGTTTCATTCTCTTAGATAAGACCTTTTTCTCACAAAAGTCTAGGGAGTGAAACTTTCGCAAATTTTGAGATCACTAGGTCATGTCAACTATACTGGGTTTGTGTATGTGTTTTCTTTTTTTTTTTCATCTAGATACGCAACTCACAAATGAAAAGCATGCAGACGAGAAACCCATTAATGCTATCATTATAAATTCAGTATCCGAATTCAATATCACAGATGGACCAGCCAAGGAAACCCCCAGTGAGAAAAAACTGTCAGAATCCAGCACATCACTGTCCTCCCTTGAAGAATGCCAAACGAAATGTTCCTACCTCCAAACTGATACTTCAGTTCATCAGAGAGACACTGATGGTATGTTTCTCAGAATCAACCTATCTCTAAATAAAGCTTCCCAACCCCCAGCCCTTGTAAAATCATCACATATGCTGTTAGAAAAAAAGAGCCTTTATGAATATTAAACAGGAAGACTTCGATTTGAAAACCCTGGTGAATGACACATGTCAAGGTCACTCTGCAATTATGAGGTGCTTGGCAGATTGTTTGCTCTCAAAGCTGGAAATCAGAGGCAAAGTGTTTTAAATAGCTGGAGTGAGGTATAATCATTCTTGCTATGGAGCTATGAAGTGGATAAAGAAAAACGGCAAACTTTTCTAAAATCTGAGACTATTTCAGCCCATGACTCTAGGCTGAGAAGAGAAGAAGGCAGAGTAGAATGGTATTCAAATGCAGGAAATGTGTAAATGCGGACTGTGAAAAATATCAAGATGCTTACATCAGCAACCAGGGTTGGTTCCTGTAGGTGATTATCACCTCCTGGGCAATCTGATCAGTACCAACCTACACCAAACTACCCTTGTATATGACTATAAAAGGCACATTCCTTTTGCAAAGCCAGTATCAAATTGATTTGGTGCTAAATGATCATCCCAGTCAAGTTCAAAGTCATGGAATCCACACCAAGACATATGTAATTTTACTCAGGTTGACTTTGTAGTGAACTTTACCGGAGACACAAACCATTCAAGAATTTTGTAGTGTTCCATATCTGCATTTGCATTTAAAGAAAGCTTGCAGTTTCTCAAAGAAAAGACAGTAGGGTATAGTTTCTGGTCTGTATTTAAATTAATATTTACTTTTTGAAAAGAAGAAAAAAATAAACAAATGGACTTTGTGTAACAGGAGCTTTGGAGTCACATCAGTTTAATTCCTGGCTCTGAAATTTATTAACCATATAAACCAGGATAAGTTTTTTACTATCTCCAAATCTCAGTCTTTCCATTATATAATGGAGCTAGGGTGTTTTGAATAAATGAAATAACATGCATAAAGGATTCTATACAGAACCTAGAACATAACAGATAATTGATTTTTGCTTTCATTACGGTTATGGTTTTAGAAGGCAAGGGGGAAAATTTCCAACATGAGTTATATATGATGTCATGCAAACATTGTCATGGGTGCTTTAGACTGGAAGCTACAGGCACAATTGCATACAGGTGCCAGTGCCAGGAGATAATGTGAGTAATGAGGTAGACTGGCAGTGAACAAGAGGGATTGGTGAGGACTGTGGCAAGGTGAAGAGCACTGCCTCTACTCAGCTCCAGCTAACTGTTGCCAGTAGGAGATAGAGGCTCAGAGTTGCCAGCTCCAGAGTGTCATGTGAAATCTCCAAATTGTTTAGGTGTTGGCAATACTTCTATTTCTTTTATGAAGCTCCACACACTCTCAATGATACACAGCTTGGGACCAACTTTGGCCAGTGGACTGCCAGGTTAGAACCTCAAATTCAAGATGATGCCCAGGTTTCTGACTTTGCTAGAGTTTGATGCCAATCAAGGAAACAGGAAATACAGGAGAGCTCTCTGTGACACTAGAAAGCACTAGAGCATTCCATCAGAGTGTATCAGGGATGCCTGTCATGGATCTTGGTTGTAATGATCCCAGAATTAGGAATTGTCACTGTCATATATCCATGCAGTACAACACAATGCCCTCCAGAACCACTCTGATTTGTCCTATCAGGGATTCTGGGAGAATGAGAAGGGCAGGTGCAGCTAACATGACACCTGAACCCTTGTATTCTCAGGGAAGGGCCAAATAACCACTCCATTAAAATGGCAACTGATACCCAGGAGTCTCATGCAGGAAAAGCACCACTTATCTTTTCTCAAATGAGCAAAGGAGATTCACAAGGACAGTTGAATTAGACTGTTTTCCTTAAGCCCTGGTGAGAGGCCGGTACAACCCAGAAAATTATGATTTTAGATTGACAACACAGGTAATAGCCCCACCGTTCCTCTTCCACATGGTGACAGATCTCCCCATCGAAGTAAGAGTTTTGGTACCTGGATAAAAGAGAGAGCGAAACATCCAAACTCAGGCCCACAAATGTGGTTAAGAAGCTCTCATTATCTTAAACAGCAAACATCAAGCATATCAAGAGTTAAGTCAGAGAATTTTTATAGTAATTAATTTAAGGATGCAGAAATTGAAAGCTGGGGTCATTGTTCGTACTGAGATAAATACAGAAATATCTTTCAGGAACAGCAGGGGAAACAGAAGGGAAAAGAGAAGATTGCATCCACTTTCATGTAGTTTGTGGTTAATTTATTTTCAAATGTATAAATGGGTGCATAGGAATGGATGCTTAATTGCTAATATCTATTATTTATATACATTGCCCCACTTAAAACAGAATGGAAAAGCCTCACACATGCAGATTTTGTAAAATGTGTTACATCCATTAGCACAGTTCATGGTGTGTGCTCTGATGGGAATTTAAAAGGATCTTTACTGCACATCACACACTATGTGCTGCAACATTACTTTATTATTAAATTGTGGCTCATCCTGTGTGGTCCCTTTCCTGAATAAAATGGAAAAAGTCCAGAGCACTATCTGTGTCTCTGCTTCTGTTTCCACATTCTGATTGCAAAGGCATCCCTGTGGGTAATAAAATCAAGGCTACGCACAAGACTCGAAAACAGACTCCTTAAAAAGAATCCTGAGACTATACCTAATTGATGTATAATTTTGAATTTGAGACGTCTCATCCAGGTGGAAGAAGAAAATCATAAATACAAGATACCTCAAAAGAATAGTCTTAATTACACCATGGACTACTGAATAAAATGATTACATTTTCTACACTGTAAATTTCATACAATTAAATGCAGTAGTGTCACCTTATAAAATGTTTCAATTTTATAATTATTTCAGTTCATTTGCTCAGAAAAAAACATAAGCACAAATTTACTAAGTATCACCCAAATCCAGTCATCCTCATTCTAAAGAACTGACTTGAACGTTAGTTGTGCTTGTCTGAACTTAAATAGATTTTGACATATTTAAGTAGCTATTAAAATTGATAACATCAAGGATGATACCCCCGCTAGAGAAAGGCATTCAGTCGCACTTTATTTATTCCTATTCTACATTACAGACTTAAAAAAAAAAAAAAAGAAAAAGAACTTAATGTTAGAAGAGTGGGAACCAATTTTTAGACTTTTTGACCAAAAACTTGGAGCAATTAGTCAGGTCACGGTGTCACGAATCCCACGATCACACTGAATCTGCTGGGATAGCACATTAACCAGTAACATATTAGAACACTGGGTTTGAGCCAGGTTGATTTACCTTTTCTTTTATTACTTTGTGGGGAAGGGAGGGGAGGTGGTTGTTTATCTGGGGCCCCTTCGGGAGGAACCCACGTTCTTGCTATTTTGAAGAGTGATGCCCAAACTCACTGGTGGTGTTTCTGGAGCTGAGGAAAGCTGTAAGAACTCCAGTGGACAGCTAAATCCACCTCTGTCCCTCCCCTCTCTTAATCCCAGGCATGGTGGTGACATGATCGAAAGCTGGGAGGGCAAATGCAGAGACCGTGACTGTGAAGCTGACCTCAGGTACACTGGTGGAAGCTTCTTGCGTTGTTACCTTTCTACTATCATTAAGCATGACCCTTTCTAATGAGACAGATTCTCCCTCTTAATTAGCCAATCCCCAGCTGTCTATTTAGCACCTTTGGAGGCTGCGTTAATCCTTCAGTATCATTAGGGTATCACTTAGCACATTACAGTCTCAATGCCCTACCCTAGGGGTGTAAAGAGGAAATGAAACAACCTAAGAGGGTTTTTGTCATGGCTTCTTGCTCACAGTCAAATAGCACTTTTGGCTGCTTGGCTTGCAGGCCTTGGCTCCCTCTTGAACTTTCCCTGATCTAGATTTAACAAGGTAAGAAGAGGGAAAGCTAGATGGGCACTCCGAGAGCAGTGATTACAGCCCAGGCCGGGATGACAGTGGGGGAGGGGTGGGTGGGGAGTCAATAAAGGGACTCCACCATGCAGAGACTTCCTAACATAGATATTAGGAGAGGTAAAAGGCCAAGTAAGGGAACAGGGAGGCCACTCAGACGACTTTAGCATCAAGGCTCTTTCCTTGGTCTCTCCAGGCCACTGGTAGGTGACTAGTCCTGGCCTTCTCTTGTGGGCCACGAGTAACTAACCATTCCTAGGCAGACTACTAGCAAGTAGCAGTAACAAAAGCCACAGGACGAAGAATGTTCAGAAAGAGGTAAAACCAAGGAGGAGATACAAGTACTGCCTGAGATACCACTCAAAGCAGAGAGAGGCATTCCCTCCTTCCCACTCTCCCATCTCCTGCCACTGTTTCCCACTGGCTAAACCTAGCAGGAAACCACTCAACAGAACCTAGGGAATAGACAGTGACAGTCTAGGAATACAGAGTGGAGCCGGGTAAGAGCAGGGAGCAAAGAGGACAGCAGGCCTTCCATGAGCTGGCCTCATACTGCGCCATGTCGGATTGTGACAGAAGAAGCGTGAGCCTTTTGAAGGGCAGGCCAGCTGCAGGGTTCAGAGCTCTGGAGGGGATAGTTAGAGTCAAATCATGGCTCCACCATTTCCTGTGCTTCTTAAATTTCCTAAGCCACAGTTTCCTTGTCAAAAAAAAAAAATTCCTTGTCAGACATGTCAATAAAAATTAGCCACAGTTTCCTTGTCAATAGCAATAGTACTATTCCAGGAAATACTATTTAGATCAGAAAGATTGAGATTTGAACTCCACCCCCTACCCCCACCCCCTCGCAACCACCTTACAGTTGAAAGATTCAGGACAGTCAGGGACAATCCCTGAGCCTTAATCCTTTCATCTAAAATATGAGGACCACTTTATTTATCACCCATCATTCAATTATTCACTCATTCACTGAACAGCAGATACGGCTTTCTTACAACTAGGTTCTAATAGGAGGAGAAACTCATTAATAAACTCATTAGTTTCATATCATCCTATGGTTAGTACCAGGAAGTAGAGTGCTACGAGAGTTTCAGCAAGGATGGGATTTATAGAGGCAAGATGTTTTAAGCTAAAGACTCAGAGGTTGAGTAGGAATCTAGTCAAGCTGTGAGGTGGGGGATATGGAACACAGGCCAAAGAGCATGGGCAAAGGCTGTGAGCTTGAGGCCTCCCAGGATCTGAAACTGAACCATTGTCGCTGGAGCGCAGTGAGCCAGAAAGACAGAAGAATGCGAAGCCAGAGAAATAGGCAGGAACCTAATCACACAGGCTTCTAGGCTATGGCAAGGAGGAGCTAAGGTTATGGAAGAGTGAGCTCTTCCCATCTACAATGAAAAATATCACAGGAGCTGATGATTTGAGCTGGGACTCATGTAAAAGCTATGTGATAGGAGGCTATCACTGTTGACCTGACAATGGCTGATAATGGCTGGAACTAAGGTGGTGGCCCTAGAGGTGGGTAGAGGCTATCTCACATACTTGAGACAGAATGAGCAGAGCTTAGCAAGGATCTGGATGGGGGATGGAGGTATGACCAGGAGAAGGGAAATGATAAGAATGAGTCTCAGTTTTCTGCTGATTTCATCCGATCGTGCAGGAGCCATTCACAAGAGAAAGCCAGAGGAAGGACAGTTGTGTAGAATGTGGAAAGAGGGAAATCTGAATGCAGTTTGGCCTCGATAAGTGGGAGATGTCTTGAAGACGTTGCCGAAGAGACATGAAATAGGCAGATGGACACATAACATACTATCTTGGCTAGGCTAAGAGCAGGGGTGCTAATCATGGGCTATGACTTTGGATATTGTGTGTATTAAACCTGAAAGCCCCAAGAAACTGTTCAGGAAAAGAGAGCACACACATTTGGGGGAAAGGGAAGCCCAACTCTCTTCTCAAACTCTTGCAAATTTCCCTTCTGAACTGCTTTGTTACTTTTGTGCAAACAAAAATTGCCATATGCAAAACAGTTTTGCCTGCCCATGTGGAATTATGTAATATGCCTTTTAGGAAAAGTTTTCAACACTCTTGAAAGTTCGGAAAAATCTGTTTTCAATTCACCAATGTTGCCATGTTTTTTTGGGCAAGAGGCTCTGCCTTTTATAACCAAATAAAAAGGACTGACTTATACACAGAAAAAAAAAAAAAGAGCTCTATTCTCAAATACAAAATAGAGAGGTAGAAGAAAACAAACGCCAGTTTGGCCAAAGGATTAGGCCAAACATTTTTGTGTGTGTATAAATAAAATCTATGGTGTACACCAGAAGCAGAGACCTCCTGAATCTGCCAGCTTGAGAAAACGTTGGCAAGAAGAATTAAACCAAAAGATTATATGCCCTCAGGAGATTACAAGGCCATTTCACAAATAGGTGCTTCACACTCTGATAGGAAACACCAGCTCGTATCCCACGTCACCAGCTCCTACCCTAACTTGCCTACAAACCAAACTTTCAGCCTCACATCTACATCCACAAAGGATGCGATCCACTGAGATCATTTTTATACGAATGATCATAGCCCAAGTCAGTCTCTTGCACCTCCAGCCTGAGGCATATGGAGCATTTGCTTGGAATATTTTCTACTGAGAACTTCTTCTTTGCCGGGGCTGCTAGAGTAGCCTTCTTGGCATTAATAAAAGTTGATGAGGCTTTATGCTCCATATCTTTGACCACCAGCATGCCCTTTTCAGAAACACAGACATGAAATAGAGTCTAGGTACTCTACTAACTAACTCCTGAATTTTTGTGGGTGGTTTGTCGTAACTTATATGGGTGAGTTGGCCTCATGCTGGAAGCTTGCCGTAAGTGAATAAAAAAATACACCCCGTCTGGCAGAGAGATGAGTATATACGCCCTAGAGGTATTATAGGATGTGCTGCCTATACCAGAAATATTTAGTAATGGCCACAGCACCTGCAACAATATATGGCAATTAAAATCATCATAAAAGTCACATTGAGGTTCTTTATGATTGTCTTACTGGGAAGAAAAAAAAACCAAGGGTGTGAGGCAGGGATGGAGGGCAGGACAGAGGCAGGAAGGAAGACTTTTGTTTACTTATATGCAAGTTCACTTTAGGCCTTTATATAAGGATTCTAAAAGAAATCTTGAAAATATTTGTTCCCTTTTAGAGCAAGTTTCTATGTTCTCCCTCCTCTTAAAAATTAACAAAAAAAGTAAAAAAGCTGTCTGGAAAACATTGTTGGAAGTAAATGAACAGGGCTCTAAGAATACTCAGAACCCTTTAGCAGATGACTCCAGGAGCAAAATCTCTCCTGCAGGCTTGTACCGTCTCAGCCAACTTAAGTCTGAAAACTAAAAGTTATTAACATAACATTCTTGTTGAAGAAATAATAAATCCTTATGAAAATCTAACTTTAATTGATTGATAAACCCATCAGGAGGAGGAATTTTTTTCTCTAATTCATGCCAGATTGTTACTTTCAACCATCAACAATTTTTAGGATACTGATTTTAATTAATTTGATGATGTATCATGTAAACACTTACCTACTCATTTATAAAACGCTCACATGTTTTTGAGGCTTTTTTAACTAAAAAGAAAAAAAAAGAAGTTATAATTTTAACAAGAGAACCGCTGCATCTTCTAACTAATTCCCTTTATGGAAACAAAAAAAATACAATAATCTATAACCCATCACAGCTGTTTGGCTAGAATTACCAATTACCTTCAATACCTTAGAGATACTTTGCAGATTTTCACAAGTCTGTGCAGTAAATTTTTAAACCAATTTTCTTAAAGGGGATTGAGAAGACCTACTCTTTTAGGCATATGATGACGTATTCCATTTAACATGAATATAAAATCAAGGCTTCTAATTAAGTGGAGGACAAAGGACACAGGGATTAAAAACAAAATATAACTAAAATCAAAACTATGATTATTTAAAAATCATTCGTAGGAGTTTTTGCAATGTGCCTTTTGCTTGCATTTGAGTATGGGAGTGGCGGATTTCTGGGAATCCGTGCCACACCAATGACAAAGCCTCCTGACAAGAAGCCGGAAGTTTGTACAGTCACTCTTTGTCCCCAACACTGATTGCTCCCAAAAGCTTTCTGCACCAGGGGAGGACCTGCTATTTTTCAGAGTTGCGAGGTTTGCAGATGGGTAGCTAATTGTGTGGCTTCCCAGCACCTCTGCATGCAAAGTAAATAAAGGAGTTTAGAAAAGTGACAGCACTTTAAATAACCAGATTATGTGGAATCAATAGAAATGCTCAGGAAGTTAATAAAGCAATTACTTAAGTAGAGTGAGTCCTGTGTGGGGATGGGGAAGCTTGAGAGAATAATGGTGATACATTACCCCTAACATGGACAATTAGGAGCTGGCTCTGAAGTTCTCAAGCGCAACACCGCACCTGCCTGTCCTTCAGAGATGCCCCCATTTGTTCCACTCTTAATTTTTTCTTCTTCTTCTTCTTCTTTTTTAAACAGAGGAGTGTGCCTCCCTTATCCTCACCTGTCTGTTTTGCCAGTTTTGGGACTGTCTCCTGATGCTCCCCGATACGTGCGAAACGGTGTGTATCAACACATGCTGCCCCTCTCACAGGTATCACCACACCTCGGATGAAAGCCACTCTCGCAATGATCGCAACTGCAACTGTGACATGGATTGCAGCCTTTTTGAATCTTGCCACGAGACCAGCGAGTGTCTGGAGCTGGCCATGGAGATTTCAGAAATCTGTTACCGCTAGCACAATGAAGTCACCCACATTCCAGCAGACCCCTTGGCCCCACGTGGAAATTCCATGACAGTAAGACTGTGATTTCTATGTGCCGAAATGTAAGGACTGTACGTGTTTCTTGGATGCTATGGACCATTTTGTTCTGCACCTGTCTGGCAAAGTAGTACCGTCAACTCTATGGTCTTATTCCAAATTTCATAACCGCATGGCTCGCTGAAAAATAAGATCTTGATCACATGTGATGAACAAATCTTAAATACCTCTTAAATGCCATAGGTACAAGGTGTTCCATGACTGTAAAAAAGCATGCTGAACCACTCTGTGTTATTGCATTCATTGGCTTGCATCATGGATCCAACTTCATTCACAAATTCAGGACAAATTAGTGCATTCTTTTAGAATTGACATACATTAGCTCGTCTTTGTAATGGACTCATGCATAAACATTATGCATTGTTGGTTATTATTAATAATGTATTGTATAACATCATTTTGTAATTAAAAATTTATTTATACAGTCTCTTAAAATTCACTTATATGTACAGTTTAGGTAGGAAAGGGAATTAAATGAATTAGAAACCATGTTCCTGTAATTACAACAGATGTCTCTAAGACATCTCCAGTGAATTTTGAATATGATGTACTTCGAGAGAGTACTATAATTCTAGACCATATTATTATACGTCTATGACTATGTCATAACAGGTTATGCATGTTCTTAATTTGTTACAGAAACTCTCTTTATTCCAATGAGCATAAATGGGAATTATATGCAAGTTTCAAGAAATGACCCTAGATAATCAGTTCTTCATTTTCCTCATTTCTGTTTGTCAGGTATAATAAGCAGTAGGATATTACAACAGAATCAGTTCATTTTACTAAACTATCACTTATATAGGAACCCAAAAGAAATACATGTCTAGGTACCTGCTCAGCACCGAGTTTCCTAATAAAGCATGTGCTTCAGAAGTCCTATTTTTTTCCTTTCTGATAATTAAAGTAATTCATAATTATGCTGAGTACCTCCTCATACATACAAAAAAATATTTTAAAGATGTGGTACAAACTTGGAAAGGGATTTTGAACTCAAACAAATTAAAACAAACCATTTTGGAGGAAAACACATCTAGTTTGAAGTTCTTTTAGAATATTCTTTCCTTTTAGTAGGCATAGTATTGCTCATTAATACTATTATTAATACAAATTAACATGTGTTTATATTTTCCTAGGAGATGCCTTAATATATCCATTGAATATTAAAAAAACACTATATATATATATATATACATATATATATATATATATATATATAAAACAAAAAAAACACAAAAGTGAAATAAAGAGTAGAGGGAACTTTACACAATCTAGTCAAACCACAAAAAAATTCCAAAGTATTTGCTTTTGGCCACCTTAGGTAATTTCAGGCAAAAGCAACATTTGTTTTGTTTCTATAGTAAACTAGCACATTTTTCTACTCTGCAATAAATTCCTCCAAACATTGAAAACTATTAATCTTTAAAAACTCTGTTTAAGCTGCCTACAGAAAGATATCAAACTGTTCCTGTCTTGCTCTTGACAGCACAGTGCATCCAGGGTCAATATGACCTCGTTCCTGTTTGACAATCACCTTATCCACAAACCACGAGCATGACAGTGCCCTACACTGTCTAGGAAACCCTTCCTTCTCTCTACTTTTCGGAAGTTCGAGGACAACTCTATACTCTGCATAGAACCTGCAGATTGTTAGTGAGGAAAAGAAGTCGATTCTTAGAACAGGAAGAGAACATAGGACTGTTCCAATCCAATATTCTTCTTCTCCATAAGAGAAAATGGAGGCCCAACTTATCCAAGACCACACAGTGAGTTACTGGAAGTGTTAAGAACTCTAACTGGGGGTCTAATTTTCTAACTACGCCGCACCACTTGTTGGTTCTGCACTTGTGAGCCCAGCTGGTACACAGTGGTACAGCTGTTCCAATGGTTCAAATATTAAAATACTACCAGACTGACTCAAACAGTTGTTACCTTGCACCTCCTGAGTGTTTCCTTTATGCCCCCCAGGCACCCTGGCCCCTCTCCAAGCACCCATCCTACCTCCCCATGGTCAGTCACTAAAAGACAACTGGCACTGCAGGATCTCTGGAACCCTGTCCCAATAAGATGGTAGCTGGTGTCATTGATTAGGCCATGTCGTATTACTGTTAAATATTTTGACCATCACCACTTTCTTTCTAGCCTACATACCCTTAAGGATTGCAAGATTATGCATTTCAAATATGAATCAAATGCTTGTCAATTAGAGATATAAAAATTGCCAGGTCTGATTTTATAATGTGGTCAGAATGCTACAAGATTTTTCTGTGGTCTCTCCATGGTTAGTTAACTTGTTCCTCACTTTCAGAATTCACCGTGCTATAACAGAAAGGGTTGGTTATACAAAGTACGAAATTTCTTTTCTTTATAACCAATAATAAAACATCATCCTTTTTGCAAACATGAATGGCTCCTTCAATTGAATTCTTACAATAAAACATACGCAGCTGGGAAAATGCACTTGTAGAGGTAAGACAGATGAAAAAGGAATGTGGTTATTGATTAAATACAGGTATCAGAATCTGAGAAGGCTCAGATTTTTTTTTCATGATGATGAAGGCTTATGATTACAGGTAAAAACAATGTTATTCTTTAGAATGGGCTTCTTAGAGAACAGAGTATTCCCATTTAAGAAAGCATATTAGCAAAAAAAAAAAAAAGATTTGAAAACACCACATTTATAGAAAATCAAGAACAGAGATTTTTCCCCCCAGCAACATAACAACATAGTTACGTTGTCTTTGCTTTGCTCAGTGGAGTTTTATAAAATCATTGCTTCTCTAAAAGCCTACAGAATATGGAAAGTAATGAAGAAACAAAGTTACATTTAACTTGCTGATGAAATTTTACCACTACATAAGCTGATAGGCCTACAAAATTAATTATCAATGCTGGACAAAGTTAATAAAGCAAAAGTTGCTTCAGTTTTTTCCAAGGAAGTAAGAAAACATTCAGGCAGGGGAACTTTACAAACAGGAAACATCAGGCCTATCAGCATGTTTTTCAAAAATAAATGTGTAGGTGGAAATGTCTGAAAGACAGAATTCATTATCCAATGTCTCCCAATTTCTCCCTCTACAAAATGGAGCTAAGAAATAATATGTACACTTAAGTAAGGTAGTTTGACTATAAAAGTTTTGCCCATTAAATGGTAAGTTTGCTCAGCCACACAAACTGATGACCCATGATCAAATGTTAAGCACCTGGTTTAATCGTTTGTTGGGCATTCTTTGAAGAAGATATCTGAGCTAAAACCTAAACGGTTGCCATATACAGCCTCATGTGAGCTGTGTGGAGAAGTAAAGTCAATACAGAATGATTGTCTAGTGATTATAATCAGCATGGGACTAAAATTATGTTGTTGGGCTTCTCTACATAGATTTGGATAGTCCCTAACATTTCTGGGAAGGGGCTCAAAATACAGGGAGAGGGTGAGGAATGAGGACAGAAGAAGGATCTGCATCATTATTTGGATATGTAGTTGACTCTTGAACAATGCAAGGGTCAGGGGCCCTGACCCCCTGCCCAGTCAAAAATCCTCATATAACTTTCGATTCCCCACAAAACTTAATAACCAATAGCTTACTGTTGACTGTGGAAGCCTTACTGGTAACATAAACAGTTGATTAATACATATTTTGTAAATGGAGGATGTACTTATTCTTATAATAAAGTTAGCTAGAGAAGAGAAAATGTTACTAAGACGATCATAAGGAAAAGAAAAATACATTTATAGTACCGTGCTGTATTTTTACAGTACTACACTGCATTTATCGAAAAAAAATCCACATATGAGTGGACCCACACAGTTCAAACCCATGTTGTTCAAAGAGCAACTGTAAGTGCCACCTTCTGGTCTACCATCTTCACATGCTTCACAGTCTTGCTTTTGCCATTATCTCTAAAGCTGTGGTTCTCACTGCTTAGGGGGTTTGCCCCCAAGAGACATTCGATAACGTCTGGAGACATATCTGGCTGTCACAATGGAAGCAGGGGCAATTCTACTAGCACCTAGTGAAGCTAGAAATGGTACTAAACATTCCACAACACATAGGACACCTCCGACAACAAAGAAAGAGCTCTGAAAGCCTTCTTATCAGTCTCAATGAACCATCACCAAACTGACTGTAAAACATCGCTGGAAATAGAACTGCCAGATAACCCAGAGGATGCCCAGTTAACTCCAAATGTCAGATAAACAACAAATAATGCTTTGGTACAAGCACGTCCCAAATATGGCATGTGACACACTTCTACCACAGAAACAATTTCTCGCTTATCTGAAATTCAAATTTAGCTGGTTGTCCTATATTTCTATTTGCTAAGTCTAACAGCCCTAGTTCAAAAGATTCCACATTTTGAAAGGGTGCTATAGAAGGAATGATCTTCTAGCTCCTTCCCTGTCTCCCAGAGAGGAGTTGTTTATCTCTTTGGTCAGAGGCCAGGACATTCATCGGACCCCATTTTACAATGTGGTATAATTTAGGTCAGGGAGCTTGGCTTAAAGATCAGCTCCAAAGGAGACTCATTTACCCTTCTGCCCCAGGCTTACACTATGACCTTCAACTAAGCTGGCCTCATCTTATTCTCTCTGCTTCACATTTCTGAAAAGGGACCTCAGCCAAGGGCTCTCTGGATTCAAGGGGTAGAATGCAGTGGTCCTTACTTATACCTTGATATCTAAACCACATATTCTTGTTCGGTCTTGACCAGAAATACGTGTCTTGATTGATGCTTGCACACCTCTAAGGGAGTATTTTTTTTTCCCTATCTAGTTGTTTTCCTTTTCATATTGCTTGCTCTGTCAAAACTCTGTGGGGAAAAGGGGTTAGTGAGCATTTCCTGGACTTGGATTGAAATACCATCCACTAACACATGAGCTTCACCATGCACTTTTAGTGTATATTTAGGGGTTG